CAGAGCAAATGATGATGGATTTACAAGAGGAAAGAGGACAACGAAGTAAGGATGTGACCTGAAAAATGATGCTAGACTCATAGCAAAGCTCTGAGAAGCCATGTTACAAAAGACCAGGGCAGGTAAGGTAAAGGCCCTAGCTGCCAGGCTTGGCTACCTGAATTCAATCTCTGGGACCTACATGATGGAAAGAAAGAACCAATCCTTGCAAAATGTTCTTTGACCTCCACACTGGCCTTGTGCTGTGAATCCCCTCACTATAAATAATTGCAAGAAACCAACACAAAACCCCTTGATACCAGCCTTAGAAGTTTGGTCTTGGTTCTGAGTGATGGGTCTGGGTTTCTAATTCGAGCAAGAGTCCCTGGGCAGGAAGATTGATGACTAGAGAGATTTAGACTCCTAAGACTGTGATTTAGAACTGCATTTTCACAGATTCCCTTGGTGAGTCTGGCTGAGATAGTGTCTACTACAAAAATATAAGAATCCTTACTATTGCAAAGACTGAACAGTGAATGAGAACGGCTCCCATAGGCTCATGCTTGGATGCTTGATCCCCAGTTGGTGAAACTGTTTGGGAAGGATTAGGAGGTGTGGCCTTGTTGGAGGAGGTGTGTCACTGGGGTGGCTATGAGGTTTTAGAACCTCATGCTGTTCCAGTTGGTTCTCTCTCTTTCTCATGGTTACAGTCTCAATATGTGAGCTCTCAGCTACTGCTCCAGCACTATGCTTGCCTGCTTCCTGCCTCCTGCCACACTCCCACCATGATGGTCATGGAATGATCCTCTGAAGCTCTTAAGAAGCCCCCAGTAAACCTTTATTCATAAGTTCTCTTGGTCATGGTGTCTCCTTACAGCAATAGAAAAGTAACTAAGATAGACTTCATTTGTATATGTTCTGAAAACGGGTAACTGTTAGGTTTGCAGGTCTCTCCTCTGACCTTGTGTTATTTTTTTTTAGTATTTGTAACTGTTTTTCATATTTTATTTATTGACTAATTTTGTGACTGATTTGTGACACACTGTGTCACAGTGTGTCTATGTGTGTGTGTGTGAGTGTGTGTGTGTAGTGTGTCTGTGTGTGTAGTGTGTCTGTGTGTAGGACAGATGACAACTTCTGGCAGTTGGTTCTTTCCTGCAACCTCAGTCCCAGGAATTAAACTCAGGTCATTAAGCTTGGTAGCAGGTACCTTTACCCCCTGAGCCATCCTGCTTGCCTCGTGTTTATGTATTGAAAAGTACCTTTGCTCAACAATGTTTCTTGTCTTTCTGTTTCTCTGCTATCTGTAGAGATTTTGGCCTCTTGGACTTTGCTCTTTCTTTGCAAGCTACTTCCCAAGGTTCTGACCTATGAATAGTGTCTACGTTAATAATGTGTTGGCTCCACAGTGATAGAATAAGTTACCAGATAGCAATATCAAATAATACAGGATTCTATGTCACTTGTTTTGGAGGATAACAACCACACTGTTATCACAAGAGAATAATTTCATGCTAGAAATTTACTCTTGGTAGTCAGAACACACTACAGTTGGCTGACTGTATTTGAAGCCTTGATCCAACCTCTAGTGTGTAGACTTTGTCCTGAAGATAAAGAGTTACAACAGCTTTTAAACATTGTGGTACCTTAGATAAAGGCATATTCTAGAAATACAGCCTTGAAGACAGGTTGCCAAGAAGGTAGGAGCCATCAAAATGGACATGTATTTAAAGTCACTATCAAGGTGTCTGTTCAGAATGAAAAGAAAACATTTCTAGCAACTCTTCCTCTTCCGAAACTACTCTTATTTCAATAAACTAAACAACTATAGGTCTTAGGGCTGCTGAGGTGGCTCAGTGGTTAAGAACCCTGGCGCTCTTCTAAAGGTCTTGGGTTCAGTTCCCAAATCACCCACATGGTGGCTAACAGCCAGCTAACTGTGACTCTACTTCTTGAGGCATGCATGTGGTATACAGACATGCTGCAGGCAAAATACCCATATTCATTTTTAAAATCTCATAAATAAGTAAATATAATTAATATGCTGGACTTGCTTGAGGAGTCTCTTTATGGGGTTCAAGAGTGGGGAAGTTAGCTATTAAGGGGAGTAATCTGGGTGGTTTCTACCCTGAGTGATAGGCCATGCATTTATTTTTCCTACCATGCCTGTCCCTTCCAATAACACACAGGATTTTAATCATCTGTGTGCCCAATTTCGCAGAGACAGAAGTTTGTAAAGAGCAGAATCTCTTTAAAAGTTTACTACAGAGCAGTTTTGCCTCACTGGACATACACCCACAATTAGCTCAGGTTAAACCCTATTCTTCCTACTCTGATACTTTGAAGATAACATGGACTAGAAACCACTTAATTTACCGGGGGTGGAGGAAACTTATGTTATTGTTCAGATATGGGAGTATGGCAGTCTGATGCAAGTGGCAGTCCGAGGGCACTCTGGGGTTGCTATGTGAGCTGTGGGAGAGGGTGTGTGAGCATAGTGTGTACGGGTGAAGAAACTAGGCTGCAACGTGCTTCACAAGAAGGTGAGTGTGCATGACCCAAACCAAATGGGGTCCCAAGCTAAACCATCTCCAATGTCTACTGATTCATAAATGCACTGCGGTTCTAGCAAGTGGTGGTGTTGTATTAGTAAATCTCATATCAGGTCCTCTGCAGTGTCGGTCACTGTGAGGCAAAATCTGACATTTTCTCTTGTAACTTCAGTGAAGTTGTCATTCTCAAGACAAGTAGCATGGGATACTTTATTTTATACTTATATTCGGTAATGTTTATTCCTTCACCATGGAGCCAACAAATCATTAGCATAGATAGTATTCATAATTGGTGTGTCTTGTTTTTTTTTTTTCCTTTCTGGTGAAATATTCTTTAGCAAAGCTGCCATTCACAGTGGGGGAGGCTGGGCTGAATCCCTAACAGGGACTGGCAGAACAAAGGGTCCGACATTTATGGACTTTAGAGAGGAGGGGAGGGGTCTCTGACCTTAGAGAGTAGGGGTCCCTGAGTTTAGCAGACTTACACAAGTGCTACGCAGAACGTAGCTGTAACTTAGGGAGCTGATCCTATTGTTCCACCAACCAGGGCTGCTGCATGCTTATGTTTAGCAGCTTAGGGAAGCTATTACACAGGGCTGATGTATGGCTCATCCCCCTTACGGGCATCCTCTGTGATAGCATGCCTTCTTTATAATGTGAAGCAATGAAGGAAGGATAAAGATGGGATTCATTGTGTGTGTGTGTGTGTGTGTGTGTGTGTGTGTGTGTGTTAGAGTCCTGGAGCTGGAGCAACAGGATGCTATCAACTGCCTGATGTGGATACTGAGAGCTGAATGCTGCTTCTTTAAGAGTAATATGTACTCGGAACCGCTGACCCACCTCTCCGGTCCCCCCATTTTACATTATAGGAATGTGTTTAAGACATCAAAACCACATATTCCACCTTACATAAATATTTTCTACAAGTGGTTCCCAGTTACAAAACTGAAAGATGAATAGACACTTCTGGGTGGTGGCAAAGATTAAAAACACTTCTCAGTGGTTACGAGCAAGCACGGCTTCCTTAGAGGGCCTCGGTTGGATTCCTGGCACCCACATCAGCCCCAATCACCTGTAACTGCAGCTCCAGGCGAGCCTCTAGGCATCCAAGTTAGGGGCAGTTCTGCTTGGGCCTAACTCAGTAAGTAAACCTATTAACTGGTAAGGAGAGGAGCAGACCCTTCATCAAGGTTGATCTCAGCAAGTCTCGCTATAAACACTAGAGGGCAGAGATGATTCTGCCATATTGGATGAATTGCAGAAAATGACGTGTCTTTCTTTCTATAGTGCTGTCCTCATTAGAGCTATGAAGGTAGAGTGAGCGTGTACACCGAAAGCTAAGCTGAAGTTACTTCCAAGTCTCTTGTTTTTCTCCTTTTCCCCTGTCTGCCATCAATTCTCAGTAACAACCTTCCCCGCACTTGAAGCGCCATGCTCCACAAGTACCTCAGGCAGTTTTTGTAAGGAGAATTGCCTGAACCATATCTAGGGCTGTGTGTGAGTCAGCATTTCACCTGAGCATGAAATCAGAACGATTTAAAGTAAGCAATGTAATCTTTTTTTTTTGAAAGACATACACATGTCCTTGGAGAGGCTTTAAGAAAAATTGGCGTTTCTAAGCTTATGAATAGTTTATTACATTTCAACAACTGTGTTGTGAATCAATAAAACAAAAGCTAAGGACAATGAGCTCAAGTTATTGATTCTTAAGTTTCAAAATAGAACAGTAGGAAAGCTATAAAAAAAGGGATTTTGGAGTTTGCGACCACTAGGGATCTAAAGCATCAAAACACAGACTAAGAAAGTCTAGGACACAGGAAGACTCCAGCAGCTCCCTCAGATAGCTAATTCACGTCATTTACTTTTCACTTTAAAAAGTATCTTAAATTTCTAATATTTATTTATTTACTTTTTATTTATTTATTTATTTTGTTTTTTTCAAGACAGGATCTCACATGTAGCTCTGCCTATCCTAGAACTCACAATATAGACCAGGCTGTCCTCGAACTCACAGAGATCCACCAGTCTCTGCCTCTCAAGTGCTGGAATTAAAGGCATGTACACTACTATGCCCAGCATAAATATTTAACTTTTTGTTTTTGGAGACAGAGTTTCTCTGTGTAGTCCTGGCTGCCCTAGACCTCGATATATAGATCAGGCTGGCCTCCAACTCACAGAAATCTGCTTGCCTCTGCCTCCTGGGCACTGGAATTAAAGGAATGTGCCATTATGTCCCGGTTGAACAAAGGATTTTCTTGCCTAAATATGTTGCAGATCTGTGACTTCAAGATGAATGAGGAAAACAAACAAACAAACAAACAAACAAACAAAAACAAAAAACCCCAAAACAACCCAAAAACCTAACTATATAGTCCAGGTCGTCGTATACAGGAAGCGACATGGCACGGAACTTTTCAAAACTCAATGAGGTGCGTGTACGGTCCATTGGTGTCCAGCTTTAACACTTGCCGGTTCCCGTACGTGCCGTGCGCCACCGCAACCCCCGCTTCTACACACTTGCTGTTGTTGGCCACGGTTTTTTCACACAGACTCACAAACTGGGAGTACAGTTCTAAGCCCTCCTCCTTTCCGGAGTTAGAGTGGTACTGCATGTTCCGTCCTTTCACCCGGCCTCCGAGGGTGGCTTGTGGGATGATCAGAATGTCGCCAGGCAGATCTAGGATTGAGACGTGCTTGCCGCTTTCCGTTTCACTTAACTTCACATTTAACAGCGTATTGACTGGGTAAAGAAAAGAGGCAAAACATTTTGAAGGGGAAAACAAACATGAAGAAAACCATCAATCTGTTAGTTGGCTACCAAGTTTCATATTTGAAACCTAGTATGCAAACCCAGTCTGAAGACGTTACAAAGGGCTTCACTGAACAACACAGCCCGAGCACAAAAAACACAGAAAATTCTGAATGCTAGCTATACAGAGAATACCAAGGTGCTTCAAATCTGACCTGATAGCTAGACTCACCTATACAAAGTTTAGCCCAGAAGACCCACATTCAAAGAAGTAGACGCACACTGGAACCCGTTGCCTGTGGGAACGCATGGATGTTTATCTCTCTGCTCCTTTCATTTCTTAAACAAATGGTTGGTTCATTCCATTATAAACCAATGATTTTGTAATTTCAAAATTTAAGGCAATATTAACACGAACTAACATTTTATAAATAAGGCCTATTGGGAAAATGTAAAGGTGAAATTCACTATTAGAGATGAGAAAGTAAAGAAAAGGTACTGGCAGCTTCTATGTATATGAATATGTATGTGTATATAAGTATATGTATATATGTATGTGCATATATATGTATGTGCACATAGGTACATATATGTATGTATGTGCATATATATATGTAAATGGGAGGCTGAGGAGAAGACGTGGTTATTAAAAGTACTGACTACTCTTCCAGAGGATGGAGATTTGGTTCCCAGCATTCACGTAACAGCTAACAGCTGTCTCTGTCTCCAGTACCAGAGGATCTGATGCCCTCTTATGGCCTCTGCAGGCAACATTTGCACATGGTACAGAGACAGGCAAAACAGCCATACACATACATACAAATAAAATCTCACCCCTCTCAAATCCAAAACAAAAAACCCATGGCAATGTTTTTATAAGCATAATAAGACTGTTTATCCAAACTACCGTAAACATCTATGCGTATCTAGAAACCTAAACTATTTCAACTTTAACCATTCTGAAGTATAAACCGAGATGTCTACATCTACACTTAGGTTCCCAGTCCCTTCACAAAGGTAAAAATGAATTCTTCTTATGAAGAACAGAACAAGTAGCAAAGGAATTCTATAAACCTTATAGTCTCAGTACTGCGTGTGTGTAGAGGCAGACAGAACTCTGTGAGCTTCAGCCCAGCTAGGGCTACACAGACTTTTTTTTTTTTTAATTTTTAATGGTACGCTTTCTAGTTTGGTCGATTTCAGTTACTTCACATCCTACAGTAAACATCAGTAAGGATTTGGTATATTTTCCTACTCCACAAGTCATGCATTTAACCTGGTAAAAATCAGTTGGTTCCTAACCTATGCTACAAGCCCCACTGCTTTTCATTAACTAACATCTCTCTTTAAACGCCTTTGTAATTCCCTGTTGTGAAGAGGTACCATCAGCCAGCAGCCCCACTGATTAATCTCAGGAAACAGGAAGTCTCCTGAACACTTCATTCCTATGGAAATCACTATTTAGCTACTCAGGCCTCAGACTCCTAAATTAGCAATTCTGGATTACTGGCAATGAGCACTAATACCATTTTATTAGACTTTCATATACCTCCCTCTACTGGCTCTAACTGAGAACTCACATGTGTATATGTAGAAGAAGAGGCAATACAAAGAGAAATAGAAGCAAGTTGAATTGAAATGAGACAATAATTAAGAGTGTGGTAGAAACTTAAAGATTATAAGACAGGTTATTAATCAAATACCTCCAATAACACAGACACGAAATTAAGCTTTGGCAGACCACTGATCACAGTACAATTATATTGAAGATGAACTGAGGAAGACTCTACACATTTCTGTTTTAGCTATGATATTTCAGATTTCATGGACATATACTTCAGGCTATATGGAGTATAACTGGTTATTCTCCCAGTGTACATAAAGCTTGGCTGGAAAGGTCTAAACCCATGAGCACGTGTGAGGCTTTAAGAGAACCTCTTCACACAGAGAACCTCCTCACACCGTTCACTTACGGAAGACAGGGGCATACAAACTAAGCTCTCAATAATAAATGGTTCTTTTGCTTGTACTTCAAGCTGCTGAACGTGATTCTTACCCATACAGTCCTTTACTGAGAATGATAAACTTGTTAGACTAGTCATTAAAAGACTTAAGGTAGCGTCCTCTGTGCTTGCTTTCATTCACCACAATCTTACCCACGTATTTAGAGTGACCTCATAAAGAAAGACAGAAGCACACAGGTTTAGTCACTAAGACACAAAATGAAGGCTGGGTTTCATGGATTCACTTTACCTCATTATGATTAAGACATTAAGATCATGACACAGCTTTGCAAAGTCAATCTTCGTTTTTCTGAGACAGGGTTTCTCTGTGTATCCCTGACTCACTGTGTAGACCAGGCTGACCTTGAACTCAGAGATCTGCCTGCTTCTGCCTCTGGAGTTCTGGGATTAAAGGCATGGGCCACTATTTCTTGGCTACAAATGACCAACATTTTACTTTTGTGCTTGAAGACTCTTATTACATTCCTGTCGACAACAAAGATGACCAGGGTGAAATACTAACTTAGGAAAACAAAGAGAATGTCTAACACCTCAACATCAGGATTTCACAGACTCCCTCTCCAACAGAAGGAGCTTTATTTTCTTTCCTTAAGCCTTCAAAGGCTCCTTATTATCCTCTAGATTCACATGTCAAACTGTTGGTTACAAGTTTTCTATCCTTACCCATCATGCAGTCCTTTCTTAAGTATTGTTTTCATGCTTTGACAAAGTCATCAAGAATGGTCGAAATATAAGCATACAATTTCCTCTACTGGTTGACTTTTGACTAAGATGTCATCAGTGGGTTATCTGCCCATGAGTTTCACTACTCTCCTCTTGGCTAGATTAATTCCTGTGAGCCCTGACTGTCTGTCTGCACTGCTTTTCTTTGTGACATATCTTGCTTTCTTGTTCAGGCTGGTCTCCAATCTCAGGATCACGGGATTCCCTTGCTGCAGCCTCATAAGTAGCTGTAACTACAGGTACATGCTACTGTGCTTAATTAAATATCTTATCAATCTAACTAGTATGTGCTATATTTTACTAATGAGGAGCATACAAGCCAACTCCAAGCTTAGGAATAGTCCCATCATTTTAGATTTTTTTCCTGTACATAATTTTTGGACCAAATACTACTTTTTAACTATGATTTGATTCAGTATGTCTGAACCTATGGAATTATCTATCAGAAGGAATATGCTGGGCCATGAACTCCTTATGATACCGGAAAGCTGTAGCAGGTGAGTTATTGCTCTGTGATCCTGGAGGATTTACCCTGTTTCCCCTGTCCTCAGAGGATGTATGGCTTTATGGGTTTATTTTTATCTAAGTTTGGGTATTAACACTAAGTTTAGTTAAGGAACTAGCAGAACTATATTTATATGTTTATACAAAAACCTACAAAAATGGTTGCTATAAATTCTCCTCTATCAATGCTATAAGCCTGCATGGTCCAGATTTGATTGGACACACATGCTGTAATACATTGTCCTCTATTGCCCATTAGGGGTGCTCTTATCCGACGGAGACAGGGAAGGGACCATGGTGGCATGAGAGGAACAACAGAGGGTAACAGGAAGTAAAGAAAGTCAAAGTTTATGATAAACATCTATAAAACCTATCACTTTGTAGAACACACACACACACACACACACACACACACCCCACACAGAGCCTGATAAAGAAAGCAGCACACGTCTGCTTGGATCTCCATGGCCACTGTACTCTCACAGCCTTCTGTACTCTGGGCAGAACTGTGCTGTGCACAAGGGCTTATGTGTCTATCTTCTAAAGCAGTCTACAAACCATTTGTAACACTGGGATGTTTTAAAAGAGTTCCATCATATGCACGTTCTTTAAAATTTACAATAAGCAATATTATTAATACACTAACACAATTTAGGATCATGTTTCTTGGGGCCGCACAGATGGCTCAGCAGTTAGGAGCTGCTGCTGCTCTTCCAGGGAACCCTGGTTCAATTCCCAGTGGCCACAGGGCAGCTCACGTCTCTCTGTAACTCCGGTTTCAGGGGATCTTATGCCCTCTTCTGGCCTTTGAGGGCATCAAGCATGTATGTGGTAAACAGACATACACTTACACAAAACACCAATACACACTGAAAACAGAAAAGAAAGAATAAACCACCCAATCACCCCATGTTCCTTGCGCTGGGTCTGCACTCCAAGCTAATCCAGAGGCTGCAGCATAAAGACTGTACACTCAATCCCTTTCTGGGATACAGAAGGAACTGAAGGTAAACTGTGGTCAAGACTTTAAGATTTTTTTTAAATTAAAAAAATTATTAGTTTGCAAAGAATTCGGACTTATTACAGATTTTTTTTCATTCAAAGTGTTTTTCTTTGGATGTTAGTTACTAAAAAGGGACTTAGGATACAGTACAGTGGTGGAGCACTTTCCCATCATGCTCTAGGCCCCGGCTTCAACACGGGGCACTATAACACTATAGCAAACCAAAGCGGAAAAGGTAAAAAATAAAATAAATTATGCTTCTTGGCTGAGGTTATAGGTCAGTGTTGAGCACTTGCTTAACATGGACAAGTTCAACCCAAAGCCCTAAAAACCAAACAAAATCCCACTGAAACCAATAGTGTACAGAATCCCACTGAAACCAACAGTGTACAGAATCCAGCTGAAACCAACAGTGTACAGAATCCAGCTGAAACCAACACAGAGTTGTTTTGAATATTTTGGTGTACAGAACCCAGCTAAAGCAACACAGAGTTGTTTTGAATATTTTGGTTCATTTGCTCACAGTAGTTCTATCTTTGCTCCTTTATTCGTCCCACATCATAAAGAGTTTCAGTACAACATCCTCAAGCCCCTCTAGCTGTGAGAAGAGAGAAAACACATACCCATTTTGGGAAGAAGTTCTGTGTCAGCTCCCTTGAAGAAACACACATAGATCACCAATCCTCTCCGAATCTGTGAGAAATGACCACAGGAATTCAGATTAGGAAGGAGTCTACAGAGAAACAGCTCACTGGGAAACATTTCACAGTGTCTACAAGCCAAGGGAATGGAATAAGGAGGGTCTTGAATTCTAAGTAAATTATGAGAAACAAAACAATCTTGGCCAAGTCTTAATCACCGTGCTTATGTAAAAGATTACAATAGAGTCAAGAGAGGTGAACATTACAAACCACACCTGCATTTATTTCCACTGAGTCAGCAGAGCTTTCAAACAGCCTCCCCCAAACCCTGCCAGACACACAGAAAGAGTTACAGGATGATTTATTCAACATCAAATGATTCTCCTTTTCCCATATGGGGACGTTGAATAAGCAAGTGTTATTGGTGTCTTCTGATGTTACTTTTTATTTCCCCCTAAGTCACTTATTTAAAGAGAGTGGACCCACATAGAGTCTTATTTTTACAAACTCCAGGAACTGTTCAATTGCTTTTTCTGTTATTGTGGTCAATGCCTTAAGAAAACTCAATGATTAGGCTTTGAAAATGACATTTTATGATAAGTTCTATAGGAAAAGGTTGGTTGTTATCAGGAATATACACTTACTCATTTTACCTAATGACTTGAATATTTGTTTACTAGTTCCTGTAAGACAGACTACAAGAAAATAAGTGATAAATGACTTCGTTGCTACCGCTGAGGGAATCGATTCTACGTTAATTTCCTTCACTCACTTGATTCAGAAGCCACCGCAAAGATGAAATGAGTTAACAAGTGCAAACTACTTAAAACAGTGCTGAGCTCATGGTAAGTACGACACAGGTGCTTACCAAATGCTATATAAGAACAAATAGGAAGGCAGACGCACAGTTTATTTCATGCCTTAACTTCCAAAGCATTTTGCATGCTTTATACATGTTTGGGACTCAACCATTGGCGGCATTAACATTCAACGAAATCTTTCTGGTTCTAATGGTTTTCTATGTAAATAAAGCTCTGCACTCATGTTTGAATTACCTGGAAAAAGATTTTAGTTTAATTATGTGCACTTGTGTGTCTGTGTACAATGGCAGGTGTCTGTCATGCCTAGAGGAGGTCCTCGGATCCCACGGAGCCGGAGTTACAGGTGGTGGTGACCAGCCCTGCATTGCAGAATAATGGAATCTAAATACTGGAAGTGAGATTCCCTAAAAATTCTGAGACTCGCTTGGCGAGGTGGCTTACGCTGTTACCTAAACACTTAAGATACTAAGGCAGAAAGATCATCCGCAGGCTGAGGGCTACAGAGAGAAGCCGTCGGGCACAGGCCACCACCAGAAGCAAGTCCAAAGAGACAGCTAGGCAGCCCACTGGGGTGAGCAGACGGAAAGGGACAAGCTCTTCTTCCCAGGAGAGATGACAGGAAGACCAGCACGGTTCCGCGGATAGGGCCGGGCGTTACCTCCACCCACTGCGCCGCGGCGTCTCCATCGGCCGGGCGCACTTGTAGGCGAGCGTGCAGGCACTGCTGCAGGAGTGCACGAGCCTGTGCCTCACGACCACCGTCCGCCATGGCGCGGGTCCGCGCTGCGCATGCTCGGATCCGCTCCTCCCACTGCCCGTGGCTCCGCCCTCTTAGGGTGGAGCCTCTGCCTGGCTCTCGGGAGTCCCGGATGTGGATCTGACCTGCTAGCTATAGTCCCTCGGAGGGTTTTTGTTTAGAGCTCCCCCTTTCTCCCTCCCTCCCTCCTTCTTTAACTTAATCTCATCCTCGAATACTTTGTTTTTGGAGATATGGTCTCATAGAGCCGGGGTTGCTATCCGAGTAGTTGAGGCTGACCTTGAACTTCCCCCTCCTTCCGATTGCAGGAATTACAGGTTTGCCCGCCCACAGCCCCACCCCCACACCGTCGGGCTCTGCTACCTATCATTTGAAGAAACATTTTTCACCTCAGAAAGCTTAGGTTTCCAGATGTTGCAAAGGATGTAAGTCAGAGTTAAATCCGTACTATGTTCATTGTAAAGACATAACTAGGATGAAATAATCAATTGATCTCAAAGCAGGCAGAGAGGGAACTAAAACAGGTTCTTAACCTGTGGGTCACCTTTTGGGTGGTGGTGGGGGGGAAGATTTACATCTTGATTCATAACAGTAGCAAAATTACAGCTATGAAGTAGTAATGAAAATCATTTTATGGCACCTGAGAAACTATTAAAGGGTTGCTGCATTAGGAGGGTTGAGAGCCACTGAGCAAAAAGCTAGAAGTCTTTCAAAATATATTTTGCCCACTCAAAGCAGTGTTGTCTTCTATATCAGAAAGGCTACAAGTCATTCTGATTCCATAGTTGCAGAAGGGTGTTTATAAAGTATATGAATGCACTGGGGGGGGGGGAACCAATTCTTTTTTTATTATTTTAACTTTTCATTTACACACATTTTAATTCAAATATAATTATACTCACATTCCTTCCCCGCCCCTCCCAAGTCTCTGCCCCTAACTTCTTTCATTTTCCCTCACATTATTAACCCTTTTCTTCAATTATTATAGCTACTTTATGTATGTGCAAATATATAAATACAACCTGTTGAGTCTGTTTTTGTTGTTCTTGTGTATATGGTTTCAGAGCTGATCCCTTTGTACTGGGTGACCAGTTAGGGGGCTCATTCATAGGAGAGGTTAATTCTCTTTCTGTGTAGTCACTAGCTGCCTGTAATTCTTTGTCTAGGGGTGGAATCTATTGAGATGTCCTATTGCCTTTGTTCGGGCTTCATTTATGCAGTCGTTTCTATGAGAGATTTGTTTTTGCAGCAGACATCCTGGTATTCTGTCTCTTACAATCTTTCTGCTTCCTCTTCTGAGATGTTCCTTGAGCCATAGATGCAATGTGACGTGATGTAGATGTAGCCACTGGGGCTGGGCTTCCCACAATCCTTTGGTCTCCGAATTGTGTCCAGTTGTGGTTCTCTGTGACGATTCTTATTTGCTGTAAAGAGAAGCTTCCCTGGTGAGTGGTGAGAGTTACACTCACCAGTGGATATAAGGATAAGATTGAGAATGTGATTAGAAATTCCATTGCTCTAGTGCAGTTATGGTATGTAGTAGATTCTCATCTAAGACCCCATGATCTCACTCCCCCCACCCGGGAATTTGGCTAGGTTCTAGAAGTAGGAATGATTTTCCCCTTCTCGAGTGGGCTTTAAATCCAATTAGACAACTGTTGGTTACAACTGACTTGGGAGTGCCATTGTACTGCACCTTTCTGGATATCTTGCCTTGCCGGTCCTTGTGGTTCATAGTCTCACTGCTGGCCCGAACTGTTAATTGCTTCACTCCTTGGGCAGCTTGCATAGCATTGTCTGGTAGCGTGGAAGCTAGCCACAGAAAGGAGGCTTTCAGGTTCGATACGGCTTGAATAGTCTTGAGTCCCGTGTGTTAAGTGTAAGATATCGTCAGCAAAAGAAACTTTCCTTCAGCCTTGTATTCAGGGCAACAACAATAGTTTATGTTGTTTTGGAATTCCTTGGACTACCATGATTTTATTATTTTACATTTGCCTAAAATGATACATAGTGAGTATAACTGCATTTATACATATACATACACATCATATACATGAATCTATACCTAATTTCTGTCTATATTTATATCCCAAAAGAAGTTATGTCACTTGGGCAGACAGTGCTCCTCATAAGAACCACAGACTCACAAACCCCTCAGTACCAGACAGGATAAGTCTCCTTTTGAATGGAGGAGAGCACTTCTTTAGAAGATATCCTTGGGAGGACTATTCTTATCTCAGAGTGTGCTTGCTCACCAGTAACTGAGTTCGATACTTCTACAGTCCTACAACATTTTCTGATGTACACAATGGCATCGAATTCTGTGGTCCGTTTTCCTTAAGCACTTATTAGAATGTAAATAAAAGTAAACAGGGCTTGGTTTTCTTTCCCACGAAATCTATTCCATGAAAGTGCATAGGATTAGCGTTTATTTCTCACAGATGAGGAGGGTTTAGCGGGGGAATAATAGTGTTACCCCGATTGCATTTCTCAGGTCATTGATTTGGGCTCAGTTGGCACAATATATTCATGTCTGCTGTTTTAGAGGATGACATCACTGATGGTGTCGCTGTCCATACAAAGTAGTACTAGAGGAAAATAATCCATGCATAATCAGTAGGCCTTTGTACACAAACTGAAGCTGTTTGCTGACTGGTTATCTTCCAGCCTCCCTAACACTCTTAGTAACAAGAAAATGAAAACTCTCACATTATCCCTGATGGCTGGGTCACAGGGGCTCCCACGTTGACTGTCTTCTGTGTACTATTCATAAGTTGAAGTGTCCGTGCCTGCACCTGTATGTCACTGTAACTATTGAGTCTGTACTCAGCCATTCAGATTCCAATTTTACAAATCGAAAGGAACATTGCTCTAGAGACCCAGGCTGTGCTCCAGAGTAAGTGAAGACTTTGGTGTTTATTCGTGTGTGAGGGCCGGAGATAGGGGGCGCTTTTGCCATTAGGATGTATAGTTCCCAGGGGGTCTTTGCACAACAAGAACAACCTGAAGCCTTCTGTGATTAGATAGTGTTTGGTTGTTAGTGGTTAGTGTCTCAAAAAATCACCAGTTATTTTTAACTTTGCCTTTGGGCGAGAATCTCTTAGGCTGAGAATGTTAGTTAAAAAAAAAAAAAAATCTATCCACTTATTCTTTTCTTCTGCCTGCAGAGGGCAGTAACGAGGAGACATTAAAGCAAGCGTTTTCTTTCTGTGTTCTATTTTATGAAAACTGTTCTCACAGAGAATTCATGGAAGTAGGGCATGCAGGCAATAGGATAGCAAAATTTGAATAAGTGAAGAGTAAAGATAATTAAATTGCATTAGTAAGTTACACTAGAGTACATTTACTAGTTAAGATGGTCATTTTTGGCTGGAATTCTGATATAGTACATAGGGACACTTTGTTTTTTTTGAGACAAGGTCTTATATTCCAGGCTAACCTTAACCCACTATGTACCAGAGGATAACCCTGAACTCTTGATAGTATTCCACCTCCTGAGTGTTGGGATCACAGGTATGCTTTACCACTCCCAGCTTGTGTGGTGCTGGGGATAGAACCCAGGGCCCTGTGCAAGCTGGCAAATGCTTTACCAACCAAGCTATATCCCAGTCCTTGGTTTTAATTTTCGAAAGTCAGACAGTCACGTACATCCCATTTAATGCCAAGGGGAAGCAGGTTGTACAATTTACGTCCAAGATAACGGGAAAATAAAGCATCAGGTCAGCATTAGAGGAAGATTGTGATACAATGGCTTGTAGGTCTGCTTTGCCTTGTGATTACGTAAGAAATTACTTTTGGATGCCTGAGATCAGTGGTTAAGAGTACTTGCTACTCTTGGGGAGGACCCATGTTTGTTTATGAGCACCCACATGGTGGCTCACAACTACCTGTAGCTCCAATTCCAGGGAATCTAATGCCCTCCTTTGTCTTCCTTAAGCACAGTACACATTTAGTGCATGTATGTACATGGAGGCAAACACACACACACACACACACACACACACACACACACACACACACACACTTTAAAAATAAGTATTATTTTAAAAGAAGGAAGAAATTACTTTTGGGGCAAGAATGATTTTCAAACAGCTACCATAATAAAAGGGGCCGTAGGGATAATAAGTCAATTGTGTGTGAATTCTATATCCCCTATGATGGTGTAACAATTGATGGAGACATGTTTTCAGTTGCTTAGTTCATTCAGTTTGGTCATCCCACACTCTAGCATTCAAAAATAGTTCACAAGTATGAGAGGCCTAGGTACCACTTCCTGGTCCTGAAGAAGGAAAGATGTGTACAGGAAACAGTCTGCTTCCTAGTGCTCAGGGTAACCGGCGGCTTTCCAGTGATTTATCTCCAAAGTGAGCCTCTTACCTGCGGCTTTACAGAGAGCTGTGCTAATAAGAAGTGCACCTGGAAGAGGTCCCCCTGTCTTACAGGAAGTGGACGGACTCTGCCCTCCTGCTTCAAAGCCTAGAGACGTTTTCTTTATCGGTGCTTGGGAAGATGATCTGGTTATGAGAAATTGGTTCACATGAACTAAAATACATAGAATACTAGAGTAGAATCAGAATTCTAATTTATTTATGAATAAGAAGATGTAATGCAGTGACAGAGAGTGGAAAAATCTCACATAGGGCATGATTGGCACATTTTACTCTCCGAATGTGGGATATGGGAGCCTATCCTGACTGTCTCTATTAGCAATGTGGGATACAGAGCATATCCTG